AAGAAAGAAAGAAAGAAAGAAAGAAAGAAAGAAAGAGAGGAAGTAAGGAAGGAAGGAAGGAAGGAAGGAAGGAAGGAAGGAAGAAAGAAAGAAAGAAAAGAAAAGAAAAAGAAAGATGGAAGAAAGGAAGGAAGGAAAGAAAGAAAGGAAGGAAGGAAGAAAAAAGAATCAAGAAGCCTTTTTAGGACAGAAAACTAAAGGTATACCTCAGCAATCACCTACACAATAGATTAGCAAGGCTACAAGAGATCCAGGTGACAAGTGTCATGAGGTGGGAGAAAAATTCCAAGGGCATTTCAGAGACCTTTGAGGCTAACCTTCATTTGTATCACAGTCTGTAAGCTTAAGAAAGCAGGTAGCAGGAACCAGCAGTTAGCGTAATGGCTATGTCGCTGGGCTCCCATGTAGTTGACCACGGTTCGCATCCTGGACCTGGTGGCTTAAAACTCACACCAGGCACGTGTGCATGCGTGCCCAAGATCCCGAGAGGAGAAAGGAAGAGAAGGGACTGCGGCGTGGCCATCCCCCCTAGGGGGTGATTTCTCGCTTTCTGTCTCTCTGTCTCTCTCTGTCTGGCAAGTGCATGTGCCCTATAGCAAAAACCTCTCCAAAAAAAGGAAAGGAAGGAAGAAAGAAAAAAAGAAGAAAGAAAGCAGGTAGCGTAATGTTTATGTCACTGAACTCCCACATAGTCAACTGCAGTTTGAGTCCTGGACCCAGAGGCTTAAAACTCATGCCAGGCCCATATGCATGGGATTGCAGCATGGCCATCTCCCTGGGAGTGATTTCTTGTTTTCCCTCTCTCTGGAGAATGCATGTGTCCTATAGCAAAAATCTCTCTTTAAAAAGAAAAAGAAAGAAAGAAAGCAGAATAATTTCAGGAGATTAGCCAGACGCAAACTCATAGCTCTGAGCTACATTGGGACTTGGCTGCCACACACCCTCAAAAAGTGTTCTTGTCCCAGGTAAAGCTTGTGATGCTCAGCTTGCCATTAAGCTACTGCTCCTAACTCTACTCCAGAACCTGCAAGCAGCAGACACTGGTGATAGATACAATGTGGTGATTCTACAGGCTCTAGGGATTCAAGAGCTATGGAGGCACAGGGCCTCTTCCAGGATTTCTAAGACTGTTTCAGACAACCTGGTGGACAACCTGGTGGTCTTCACCTCTGTGGAGAGCCTCCATTATGGCAAAGCCAAGTGGAAATGTGAGATTAGAGCTGCTAAAGAGAGTCCCTCCTGGGGCAGAGCCTAGTAGAGCAATGGGAATAAAAATGCCCTTAAGACCCCAGAACTGTGGAGCTATCAAGGCTATCTAAAAGAACTGCATGCATGAGGCTCAACCTGCAGAGAGCTGAAACACAGACTGTGCCCTACAAGGCCAGGCTGACAAGACTGACGCTTTGGGAGCCCAATCCCGTCAGTGTGTGCAGGAGATGGCACATGGAATTTCAAGACTACTTGTCTGCCCTCCTGGATTTTGGTCTGCTCTAGCCTTTGTCCTACTCCTTTCTTCTTATGGAATGGGACTTTCTACCCAGTGCCTGTTTTGACACTGTAGTTTGAAAATTTGTTTTGATTTCATACGTTCATGCTGGAAGGAATTTACTGTGAGTCTCAGATTTGACTTTGGACTTTGGGCTTTGGAATTGGTTCTGGAATGAGTTGAGACTTTTAGACTATGGAGATTATTTAAAACAATTTTTTTTTAGATAAGTACATAAACTTAGGGAGCTAGCAGTGGAATGCTATGCTTTGTGACCTCCAAAATTCATGAATTGATTTTGGGTTGACATCGAAAGGTGAGGCCTTTGGGAGTAATTAAGTGATTATGTTAGGGTCCCTCATCATTAACTCCTGGTGGATGTTTTTTGGTTGTTTTCCAATTTGCTAGAAGATACATGCACTCTCTGGAAAAAAACAGAGAGAGACAGAGAGAAAGAGAATGTGAGAAAGCACCTTCCATGGGTGATGCTCATGCCACAATTCCTTCTTCTCCATTTCTCCCTCCTTTTGCACATTAACCTAGCATGTTTGTCAAGCTGCTGAGTCTGGGACTGAAGCTATTGCATGTTTGTCAAGCTGCTGGGTCTGGGACTGAAGCTATGCAGTTGGCCATGTGGGATGACCACCATGTGACCGGCTGGCAGACTTACAAGGAGAGGAAATAAGAACAGAGGCTTAGATATACACACTCCCTCTGCTCTGGCCCTTGTAATGTGATGCCTTGGAACTGTAAGATCCCCTCCAGAGGTGACCTTGGCCCTTGGAACTTAAAACTATGAACTGATGGGGCTGGCAGGTGGCATGGTAGTTAAGAGTGCTGGACTCCCACATGGCCGACCACGGTTCGAGTTCTGGGCCTGGTGGCTTGCTTTCTTACTCTCTTTCTCTTTCACTCTGTCCCTCTCTGGTCAAATGAAAATAAATAAAGTTAAATGACATAATTATTTAAAAAATAAGAACTATGAACTGAATAAACCTCTATTACCTTAAATCACTCAGATTTGGGTATGTTCAGTTATTAGCAATAGAATGGACTGGGACATGGTGATAATAAGAGTTATGACAAGGTTGTTAGGGAGGCGAAATGAGTGAGACAACCCATGTTAGCTACGGTTAAAGTCTAAAAAGAGCTGAAAGGAGAGCAGCCTCCAGTGCAGGTAGATGAGGCCTCAGGAAAGCCCCCCTGAGTGAAGAACCATTGCCTCCACCCTGGGTACCCAAGGAGGGGATAAAGGGAGAGATTAGCCCCATGGAAAAGCTCACAGTGTGTTTTCCACAGAGGCCCAAGTCTGTGCTTATCTTGCTAAGAAACCCAAGTCAAGAAGATGACCAGTCTAAATTCTTGCACTAGCAGATGTAAAGTCCTGGCTTGGTCCTAAGTCTCAGGTGACATGAGACAGCCCTCCTTGAGATCTCCTGGTCCCATTTCCTCATATAAAGCAGTTGGGTAAGATGATCTCTGAAGACCCCCTTTTTAACCTTAAAACCCTTAGTCTGAGATAAAACCTGAGGTAAGGGGAGCACAAAGTCACGAAATGTCCAGAGGCCGTGTCTTAAAAATGACTGAACACGGTCTTGGCTAGGGCAATAGGAAGTGAGACCCACATGGGTCCTGCCATTGTGAGGAAAACATTCTTTTGGGTGAGACAGGAGTTAAAGAAACGGTTACATAATTGACTGTGAGTCTTTTATGCCAAGTGTTTACTGAGTGCCTGTTTTGTTCCAGACATCTTGCAGGGTTCTGGGATAAATTCCTGGTAATTCTGCCTCCTTTCCATGGAGGCTGACGTGGTCCCTGGCCCCCAGAGCTTATGGTGATAAATGGTTTTAGAAAGGAGACTATAATAGAAGTATCAGGGAGGACCTCTCTGAAGAAGTGACTTTTGGGAACCAGCAGTTAGCGTAATGGCTATGTCGCTGGACTCCCACGTAGTCAACCACGGTTCGCATCCCGGACCTGGTGGCTTAGAACTCACGCCAGGCGCGTGTGCGTGCATGCCCAAGATCCCGAGAGGAGAATGGAGGAGAAGGGATTGCGGCGTGACCATACCCCCTGGGGGGTGATCTCTCACTTTCTCTCTCTCTGTCTCTCTCTGTCTGTCTGGCGAGTGCACACACCCTATAGCAAAAATCTCTCAAAAAAAAAAAAGGAGTGACTTTTAAGCTGAGATCTGAAGGATCTCATCACAACCTTTGAAAGCTCATGTCCAGAGAAGGGAAGTGATTTGGCCGAGGCGAACAAAGACATCCTTATCAAAACTGCCAGTAGAATCTCATGGGATGCTGGACTCTTAAAAGAAAGAGCCAAGAATTGAACCAAATGATCAATGTGAACATTTCCAGCAACGAGACAGACTGCCTCGGCCTCCTGATGCCAACTATGAACAAAACCACATCACTTCTGTGATATTCCTGCCAGAAATGCTTTATCTGAAACTAATCATAAAGCAACAGACAAATGGAAAAACATTTCTGCAAAATATTTGGTTGGTACTCTTGAAAAAAATCAGCATCACAGAATACAAAAGCAGACTGAGAAACAGTTTTGCATTCAGGAAAATGAGAGAGTATCACACAACTATAACTGAGATAACTGGCAAAAGTGGATTATTAACTATTTATTGGACAGTGGTGCTGTGTCTATGTTACATTTCATTGTTACAGCCATCATTGTAATGTGGAGATGTGAGAAATAACCTGGCTCTGGACGTGAAGTGCTTAGGGACAAAAGGGTGTGCTGTTTGCATCTTCCTTTCAAATGGGACAGAATAAATGGAGAGAAAAATCAAATGTGGTAAGATATTAATGATTAGTAAATTTGAGTGAAAGATGCACAGTTCTTTGCATTATTTCAAACTCCCCTGTTAAGAATTTTTTTTTCCAAAATAAAGTTATAAGTAGGTAAATAAAGAGAAGCATTATGTCATCACCTTCCCAGTTTATTGTTTTGTTTTATTTTGTTCGCCAGAGGGTGCATATACTGACTGGCTGCAGAGAGAGAGAGAGAGAGACAAGGAGAACCAGGGTGTGGTCATACCACATTCTCTTCTCTTCCATTTCTCCATCTCCAACACACAAAAGCCCAGCATGTTTCTCAAGCCACTGTGGGCCGGGATTTGAACCATGTGGTGGGCTATGTGGACTCCCTTTACCACTAGGCCACCAGCCCTGCCCACCAACCCAGTCTTGGTAGCTCCACCCCACTTACATCTAAGAATCCCACAGAATAATGCTTCACTGTCTTCTCCCTTATGGGAAAGAGAGTACCTCTTTTGTGTTGGGGACATTGACGATCTTTTTAGCGTGTGCAACATGGCCCACGACGCCCATGTCCAGGGGAAAGACAATCTCCCCCTCAGGCATCACCAGGCAGTCCTCAAAGACAGCATCCTTGCAGACATTGAAGAGACGGGTGGCTAGCTCTGCGATGCCGTTGCGGGTCCTGTACATAAACAGGCTCATGCAGTCTGCCTGCAGGAGGAAGCACAGCTTCTTCATGATGTTGAAGATGCCCTTCTCAGCCTGCAAATTTTCCTGAAAGTCCCGCAGGAGATCAAAGATGATTTCGCTCTCTTCCACGCTGTTCAGTGAGTGGTAGTTGCTGAAGTCCACAGCTGCCTCCTTGGCCCCAAGAAGGTCTGAGATGACCTTGGCCCGATAGCGGAGGTTACAGTACTGCTTGGCAAAGCCAATATTGGAGTCCAGGAACTTCTCCACCTCCTCTGCTGTCACTTCGTTCATGGCTGGGAATCCCACTGGCTACTTTTGTGGAAGGACTGATCCTGAGGCCTACCGAAGGCAATTTTTCAGTGTGTGTCAAAGTTGAGCTTTCTGCTCCAATCTGGACTTCTCTGAGTCTTGTCTGTGAACCACACTGAGTTGACTGCACAGGAGCAGGAGTGAGCTGGAGGGATTAAGTCATTAATATTTCCCAAGAACAAGGATTATGAGGATCAGTGTGTTCCAGATACTGTTGGCCCCAGAAGGGAGGAAGTGAGAGTTCACTTTTCAACCTTCATCTACAGTGGAGATGAGAGATTTCCACACAGAGCAAAAATGGGTTTCAATACCGCTGAAACGGAGGTGGCAAACAAGTGGCACAGGGACCACCCACTACCCGTAGATGTGTTTTCACTGCTCTTTCTTGAACATTTGACATAGAAACCAAACGCTTACGCTCAGGAGATCTGTCTTGGTTCTCTCGGAGAGTCAGACCGAATCACCCTGTCCACATTCCTCCATAGCGGGAATGGCTGGAACTGAGAGTTGCCTGCTGCCAGCCTCTGTCTCTCCCTCCCCCTCACTCCACCCCTCCATGCCCTCTTCCCCAGTGCTTCCCACATGGGCCTTCGGGTTGTGTGGCCAGCTCCCAGCCTGCCTCCCTTGTGTACCTAATGGATCTCGTACCAGTAGGTCTCGATTTCACACACTCTGCACTGAAGTTTTTCTCAGCTTTAGATTTCAGACTCTAATTTGAGCATTCTAAAAGCCCTCATAAAAAGGACACACCTTTGCTTGCTTACCTTTTATTACAGAAGTAATAATATTCACTGTAGAAAACACACAAAAGACGATTAAAATCACCCCAATCTGCTACTCAGAGATAACCTCAGGTGAATATTTTAGTTTCTGTCCTTTCCATGGATGCTTGACTTTAACGCTCTGTTTCCCTGCTCCCATTTGATCTTTCTCTTGGCGCTTCCATGTACTTTTTGTGGCTCCAGCTTGTACCCTTTGGTCCTTTAGAAATGCACAGAGTGGTCCAGATGCTATCAATTCTAGAGTCGCTGGAAATACCAGAATCCTCACTGAAGGGCCCCTCACCCCTGCACACCAGGGAGGTGGACCAGAGTATTTTTCCCTCTGGGTAAAACGTCCTTTAGCCTCCGTGACTGCATCTACCAGAGCCTGGCATCCCTGCCTTGTAAACATTGTGGCACGCGTGATTGTAGACCGTTGCTGGCACTTCGAACTTTGTAATAAACTTTGAAGCAGAGTAGATTACTTCCTTTATTGTACAGTGTAATAAACTCTTAGGGCACTGCACCCATGCTGTACTGTGGACAGAGGGGTTCCGTGTTGGGGCCCATGAAGCAACTTGAACTTCTTCAAACGCTTTCCCCATTGCAAACCTGAGCCCTCTGCCCGAATGTTCCTTCCCAGCTCTCCGCCCCTGCTGTCTCCTTCTCAGCTTCGAGGGCCCAGGTCACACTGGTCATCTCTGGTTATCTCAAGCTGGTAGGCCCCAGCTGTTCCCTTCCCAGTTCTGCTGCTCATACCACCCTATTTATTTTCTTTATTACATTTACCAGGAAGAATCCTGTTTGCTTTTTGTTTATTCATCCCTTTGTCTTTGTTCCTCACTGCATCGCGAACTTTGTAAGAGTAGGGACCTGTCAGGGTTGATTCTCTAGGCCTTGCCAGGCTGCCTGACATGTCCTGGGTGATCAGGATTTTGTTTTATTTTATTTAAAATGGTATGTCTCTTATGTACATGATTAAAATGTAGAAAACCCAAGGAGACACAAAGAAGAAAATTAAAATCCAACATGATCCCAGATACTACCATTGCCAATATTTTTTTGTATATTTTAAAATCTTTTCCTGGAGAATACACTCACATACACACATACAAACATATATATTACATATATATAATACATATATATTATATACCCTCCCAAATGTAGAACCAGGTTATAAGATGCTTTTTTCCACTTTTCAAAATATCATGAACACCTTTCAAAGCTCTTTCCATTCACTCTAACTACTGTGGAGCATTGCACCGTGTGGATTTACCATGATACCCACCTCTACAGAAGGGTTTCTCCTCCTTGACACTATTGACCTTTTGGGACCCAGTAATTCTCTGTTACGGGAGGCTGTCCTGTGCATTATGGGATGTTTTCTCTGGCCTGTACTCATAGAGACCAGTAGCAAACCCCTGAAGTTGTGACAACCAAAAATATTTCTAGACATTCCCAAATGTCTCTGCAAGGCAAAATCACCCTAATTCATGTAGGTTGTTTCTAATTTTCTAATATTGTGAATAATATCATGAATATCCTTATATTTCACAGTAAAAGTACCTAGAAGTTAAATCCCAGGCTCAAAGTGTTTGCAGGTGCTGTCAAGGGTTTTGAAAATATAATGCTAATTTTATCCCTAAAGCAGTACTACAGAGAAAGAGCGTCTGTCCTCAGGGCCTCCCCACCCCTCAAGAATATCCTGTTGCCTATTTGGTTAAGTAATTTTTCTTATCCCTGATATTAGTAACTCTCCAGAATTTGACCCCAATACTTCTTACTTTGTTTTCCACAATTTTTTTCTTACATATATCCTAAGCTCTACCCTAATGTTTTTCATTCTTTTTTTTTTCTTATTTTTTCCATGAGCAAGAGAGACAGAAAGAGAGAGGGATGGTGAGAGAGAGACAGAGAAAGAGAGAGAGAGAGAAAGAGACAGACCTCTCAGCAGGGTCTACATGCCGTGACCTACTCCCAACCTTTAGTCAACCCTAGATCGTGGGCAAGCATATGCCCAGCATACCCAGGAAGGTCTCTGGACTCGAAGCAGGAATCTTCCCACACGGAACTGCCTCACAGAGCACTGCTTTACCACTGTGCCATCGTCGGACCCTCTTTTTGGTTCTTGGATCTTTATTCTTGCTATGCCTCCTACCTGTCTTTTACCACACAGCCCAAACACCATTGCCTCCATGGCTTCTTCTCTGATGCGCCAGTGAGATGCTTCCAACTTGGGATTGCCAAACTCCTGGTTTCCTTTCCATCTAATGGGAGTTTCTACAGTCTAGGTTGTGTGATTGTGTACATCTGTACTTTCATCAAAATCAAGCTCCTTGAGTCTCAGAGTGAAAATGTAGCCTTTTAAAAATCTCCCAGAGAACCTAGTCTAGGTCCTTTAGGACCTATGTGCACAAGGCTTAGTTCTGGGTAAGAAGATAAGCAACTGCTTTGTTGGAAAATCTACTTTTACCTTGTGTTTTGATATGCCAGAATATGGAAGGCAAGTGTGTTGAACATCATCTGTCCTAATTACTGGGTAGGTACAAAAGAGCTGGTGTTTGCCGTGGGCTGCCTAACTCACCCATGGAATGGGCCTGGTTTCAGATGTCCGGGGAGAAACCGGACTCTGAAGCTCCTTTCCTTGGGAACAGGGACTATCAATTGAGTTAGAAAAGATGTTTCTTGTAAACCAGCTTTTAAAAGAACACGTATCGCTAGAAAGAGGAATACAGGCTTATAGGCCCAACAATGCCCAAGCTATGACTTCCAAATAGTCTATCTTTTTTAAAGGCTTTGGTTTCTCTATCAACAAAACAAAGGAGTTGAGTAATTTATTTCTAACACTCCCAGTTCCACGATTCCAGGCAGACTCTAGGAATAGCTGATCTCTCCACTCCCAACCCACAAGACTTGGTAAAGTTCTCCTGGAATAATGCCTAGTGTATTTATTTAGAATGGTCTCTACTCCAAGATCCAAATTTCACACAAACTGAAACGTTTGGAAAGTTAGGTAACTCAAACTGCAGGCGATTTTAAAAATATTTTAAAAATCAGTCTAATTCATATAACAGAAAACCCACTGTTTTAAAGCACACAATTCAATGATTTTTAAGCACATTTGATATGCTCTGCAATCACCATTACAATTTCAGAAAATTTCCACCAATTCCAAAATAAACCTCATACCTCTGGCAGTCAGCCCCAGCACCCCTGTCACCCAGTCCCCTGGTAATCACTGATCTTTCTCTATGGGCTCTCCATGGTCAACCATGCCTTGAGTCCCAGACCTGGTGGCTTGCTTTCTTGCTTTCCTTCTCTCTCTGGTCAAAATTTAAAATAAATAAATAATAAATAAATAAATCTAAAAAAAAAAAAAAAAGAAGAAGAAGATAGTTCCTAAAGTGCTTAAAACCTGGAATTTGAGAGCTAAACTGGGAGAGAGCCTGTCATTTGCTTTCTGTGTAAATTATTTAGTTTCTCCTGGACCTCACTTCACTTAGCTATAAAACTGTAATTATTCCACATGGCCATTATAGAGATTAAATGAGATAACGTAGTACATAATGCAAAGCTATGTACTTGGCGAATATTAAGTCGAACCCTCTAAAACTACTAATGACTCTTTTTAGCCTACAAGAATGGTCATTTGGGGACCAGCAGTTAGCATAATGGCTATGTCGCTGGACTCCCATGTAGTCAACTGCGGTTCGAGTCCCGGACCCGGTGGCTTACACTCACACCGGGTACATGTGCGTGCATGCCCAAGATCCCGAGAGGAGAATGGAGGAGAAGGGATTGCGATGTGGCCATCCCCCCTGGGGGGTGATTTCTCACTTTCTGTCTCTCTGTCTCTCTCTGTCTGTCTGGCGAGTGCACGCACCCTATAGCAAAAACCTCTCCAAAAAAAAAAAAAGAATGGTTGTTTCAATGGAATAGTAGGTAGTCAGTTATTATTAGATTATTAGTTATTGTAACCATCAAAGATGAACTGGATTACCTTATAGGTAGTGAGCACCCTGTCATTCAAAGTATGTAAGTGGAGGACATGTCAAAGAGGATTCAAACACTTCTATAGGAAGACAGATATGGGGCTAGCAAATCATGAACAAGGCTATAGTGACATTCCTAGAGGATGAGGAACTGGTCCAGGCTGGGTTTGGAGAAATGGGGAGAAATGAGTGGGTTGAGAAGCAGGAGGTGGAATGTGGACGGCAT